ACGATATTTGGTGATTGGTAATTTGAATGAATAGAAGTAAGTGTTCTTCTTTTTATTACTTTTGAAATATGAGTTATAATTTATCAATTTCAGCTTTGCTTTTCTCTAAACAGCCCTGACAATGTCAGAATTGTCAACAATAATAAAATTGAACTGCATGGGGAAAATCTTAAAAAAGTAGTTTCGTCATTGAAAAGTGTGTAATAATATTTTGATAATTTTCACTGTGAAATTATGAAATATAATTTTCACGGATAAATCAGTAATCCACTGAAAAGCATAAAATAAAAATGGACATTCTTTAATCTCTATAAGCAAAAATGCTGTGTTACATACCGAGATTGATACAGAAGTTTGTTATAACGTTATACGGAAAACATTTGAACAATGGCACACCAAAACGTAAGTTTTTCAATCTTCGGTGTGCTAAAAATCAACAGGTAAATAATTGTTGTTTACAGTTATATATTGATGTAATTCATTTCTTTTTAATGCAATTTACTACTGTTGCACGGAAAAGTAATAGCGTACAGTGATTACTAGAAACGGATGTGATACCAATGATACATTAAAATGATGCATAAGAATGTACATTTTATATCATACATAATGTATTTAAGTATGTGGAATTCAATAAATGTGATATGTACAAAAGACCTCAGGAGACATATCAACTTCATGAATTCCCGATTTCATATTCGTGAACACACAATTTTAAGGTCGTGAATTCACGTTTTAAACATACACTTTTCACGAGTTCATGATTCCGGCTTCATGAATTCACGATTTCAACTTCACGAATTCACAATTTCAACTTCATGAATTCATGATTTCAACTCTGTGAATTCACGGTCGGTTTCAACCTCACGAATTCACGATTTCAATGGACGAATCACGTTTTCAAGTTCATGGATTTACGTGTTGTTTTTTATTCTGTTAAAGTGACATTATCTTATATTATTCGTTGTTTAGTGAACTTTCTTTGGCTATTCATGTTTATTAAAAAAAATCGACTATTAAAATGCCCATTTGCCAATAGTAAAGAGGATAAAATATAACAATTGGCTAATATTAAAAGTCTGTGTCACTCTTTTTATCTACAATGCCTTCGGAAGGATATTTTTTTTGAATTAATTTTGCTTTACTTTTGTAATTTTTTATACACTAGACAATTGTTTGAAAAATGGTAAATATCGAACTAATGTGTACAACTATCATTACAGTACTAATATATTATAACAGTTCTAATTGTCAAAGTATCGTAACTGTTCTTATGTGTGAAATTATCATTATTAGTGCTAATGTGTCTACTTATCATAACTGTTAAAGTACTAATTTGTACTAAAGTGTGCAACTATCATAGTTGTACTGATGTGTGAAATTATTACAACAGTACATTTGTGTGAAATATCTTTAACAGTACTTTTGTGTGAAATTATCATTACAATACTAATGTGTCATATTACATAACTGTACTTATGTGTGAAGTTAGGATAACAGTACAAATTGGATACAAGTTTGCTGTGGACTATTTTAAGAATTATCTCATGAAAACCAGTGTTTACTTTTTAGCCATTCTACATAACAGATATAATTCATACAAAGTTCATTTAAATAATGATCAAAGGCTATTTTTTCTGAGATATTAAACAAACGTAGATTTTGGTCTTCGTTTTTTTGTTTAGTTTGTTTTGTTTTTTTACATAAATGTAATGTCTAGCAAATGTAGAGTCGAATAAATGCACTGAGATACAATGTAAGAACATAAACCCATGATTTGACTATTGAAATTCTAAAAGCAAAGCTAGTGATAATGTCAATAAAATTGTTGTATCCAAAACATTTGGCGCCAGTGCGACACATTGCATTTTAGTGAAATGAAATACTTGATGTTCTTAGACCTTTGTTTTAAAAAATGACAACAAAGAGAGAGAGAGTATATTAAACATTGGGATATAAAGTCATATAAACATGGAATGACATGCACATTTGTGATACAATTTTGGTATCTTTTTGAATAATATTATTGCGACCCTTGAAGAAAAACAAAAACATTCCAAAATAGAAAACCCCTTGCTTATCTAAGCAACATGAAAGTAATAAAAATACAATTTCAGTGTCAAAAATATAAAGTATAAAGTTAAAAACCAAATAAACATTAGATGTTTTCACATGCCTTATACAATAAGATTGTAAAACTATTAATTTCGCCGACCATGTCTATTTTAAGCTTTTAAAAGACTGTTCTGTTATGTCAAACTGATGATACTTTTAGCCATTTTGCACGGTATTGTTTCTTAGATGAGTACCCGCAGTACGTATTAGTTTTAGTGTATTTAATGTAATGGAGAAGTTTTTTTATATGGTATTGCTTTATGGTTTAGAATGAATCGAAAGGTCAATAATATATTAACTATGTTTGGAAACATTTATGACGGCTTTTTTTTCTTTTAATATTTTACGCCGACACAACCATCAATGAAACCGGAAATTATATTCAATATACATATAAAACAACTTCAGAGTTTAAATTGTTTTTACATGTAAGTTTAGCAATAGGACAATGTAATGTTACTATTAGATCGTAATAACTGCTTAAAGACGTCAGTAACGTAAACAAAGCGATATCAGTCCTATTGATTATATTTATTTCTGTTCAGTAAAGAGCAGTTTTATTCCTTTAGGTAAAAACTTAAAGTAATGATGTATCGCTTATTTCAAATAAAGTAATACTTTATATATAGTTTGTATCAATATTGTCAGCGTGTTTTCGGCAATTTAATATTTATCATGAACTTGTCAAATTAACTCACTGTTCGTGTTTGATAAAAAGAAATAAGCATTTTTGAGGAAGGGTGTTTTTTTAACTTCAATGCCATTTTGGTTTTAGCCTAAATGAGTTACCAAATTAACTTAAACGTGATATTAAATACGTTTATGCATTGATTAATTAATTCCAAATTAAACGGTTGTCACGAACGCAATGATCAAAACCAAGAACCTTTTTGACCAGAAAGTTCACAGATGAAATTTGTTTACATTGTAAAGTTTGACATAATTGTATTTAAAATAGAGTAAAACTATTAGCAGCATATTGATGTACAAACATATTTCCGTTATCTTGCTGGTGTCAAACATTTTCAGACAGAGACCTACAAGAAGTTTTTAATTTGAAATGTTCCCTAGCAACTTTTAAGGAAGAAATCAATATTGAGATTCTGGTAATGGAATTATCATTCATAAAGTACGGACAATGTGTCTAGCTTAAGTGACTTGATTTTATCTTTTCAAACAGACATTGTTATTTGTAACACTAATGAGTTCAGTGCAAAGGGTTTCAATTACATTTCAATTACATTATACAAACAAATAACAATAAGACATTTTCTAAGCACATTTTTATTTTGAAAAAAAAAACAAAAAACAAAAAACAAAACGACAACAACAAAAAAACTTTTCAAATTCTTTTTTTATACTTCTAAGAAAATGCAAGGTAGCCAAAATAATATCTTAACACTTTACATCATATAGACGTATTTTCACGCCTTTTCACCATCCCCTTTGAGGCCTCAAATAGTGAAACAAATGTCCTATTTGGACCCAAAACACTTGTTTTCGTTTCAGAAATGCTGCTAAAAATTCTAACTTTTTTCGGCGCCGACCCCTACGAAAAAATTAAAAAAACAACAACTAATGACTAGTTAAGCTGGATTTTCCGGGGAGTTTGATTATCGATTTATCATATTGCAGACGTGAACATAAAATACATATACTATATATCATATACAGTTAACATATCCCTGATTGGATGTTCAACAACTTTAAAATGATACTAGTATTTGGCCTGAAATCCTTTGAACTTTACTTTAGTAAATTAAGTGTTTTTTTGTTACTGATGATATGCCATGAAGTGTCAGTAATAATGCTGTTGTTATATAGATATGTACTGTCATAAGACGATCGTTATTGATGTTACGAGTGAACAGGAACAGTAGTCTGTACCATTACCGTCTGGCCGCAATGTTTGTTTATTTTGTTGACTAATTTCTAAATAAAGTTATAAGTCGACTCATATGCATAGTTATTACACTAGGGTTATATCTTATTTATTTATTAATATTTTATTACACTCCGGAACAATGGTTTATGTGATGATATAATAAATATGGTAAGATATCTTATTTATGAAATAAGTTTTTTTTATGAATGTTTGACAATTTAAAAGCACATTAGTTTGTTCCAGATTTAACCGGTCACATTAATCAACATAACAAACTCTTTTTCTTTAAAACAACACAAGGGTTTGCCGAGTTGTTAAGGTCACAGACTTCAAATCATTTGCCTCTCACCAATGCGGGTTTAAATGACTTTTGTTCTTTCAGCGAGGAAACTTTCCAGTTATCTTACGGAAGGTCTATTTTATGTTACGAAAGTGCCTGTAATTTGAAAATGCATGAAAAAACACCATAGGTCTTCATCTTACAATAAAGCTGGAAAATTTCCATTTAGCATTGTCAATGTGACTTGAAATTTATAAAACACAATGAGATAAGAAATGTAGACTAAATTATATAATTTTAAATATTTTCGTACATACGTTCAATAACAAAAACTTTTTTAAAGAAAGAATGTTTCTATTTATGCTTATATAGAACCATAATTATGTATCTTTAAAACACCTCGAATGATTATTGAAGCAATGCAATTGAATAACATTTATGCTTCGACTGGGGTCGGTCTGTTCTTTCTTAGGAATCGTGTTCTTTTTTTGGGGGCGCAAGCCCCCAATGTAATTACGATAAATTCAGCTTACTACCCTTTGAACGCGTTTAGGCTATCTAGCTGCGCTGAGCAAAAATAGTTCCAATATTTTGCCATAATATTCAGATCATCATTATATACCGTATCTATTTTGAAATTGACTGGTCATTTTATTACTAAATTTTAAATCCTCTTACCACAAAATTACATATAACCATTGCTTTACGCGATTTGAATATTACTACGCTAGCAGTCGATAAAAATTTAATGAGAACCAGTTAATTTGTTCTACCTTCTGGTTCCCGATGCACGAGAGCCAAAGTACTTGCATACATTTGGTGCCAATTTTATCAAGTCATAAAATTAACTAACTATCATAGAACACAATAATTCAGGAAAAATGGAATACGATTTTCATATTAGATAACTTTCAAGCTTAAAATGGTTAAAAAGTGTGAATGACAGAGTAAAAATTTGTATGCGTATGAATACGAACTATATTCCCTCTGACGTCATTTTCCCGAAATCGCCATCTTGGTCAGTTATTCCGAGAAAAGGCTGAGAAGATTTGCTATCAATTACGAAGTCCCAGCTATTACGTTGATATTTTGGTTGCAATCTATTCCGTATGTATAATCAAGTTTTCTTCACAATCTGGTAAAGCTATTGATATATTTCGCTTGATAGACTGCAAATTTAAGTGCATTACAAACTCGCCCTAAAACGTACTCGGCCCCGAGTCAGCTCGGCCTTTTTTCAACTCGGTCCACTTTTCAATTTATTAACATATTGGTTTGTTTTATCACTCTTTATTGTTGAAACCACATAATTAATATCTGGACTTATTCAGAAACATGGAAAGATATTTTCTTAAATTATTATTACATTTTGACTACTTTTTAACACATCTCTATAACTCAATTTACTGTATTAGCTATCTAAGCTAAACAAAATAGGCCCAAAACTTGTCATGGTATACAGGTAAAATGTTCTATAATTGGTGAAAAATGATAGTTTTCAATTTTTGTGATCATGATTTTTGCAAGCGACTGGAGGTACTGCCCCAACCCTGTTATGAATAAAATCCTATCCTAGAGGTCCCAAAATTTTAAAGGACTGGCAATAATTATAATTGTTAAATACAATATGACTTAAGTTCAGATATACTTATTTCATACATGTAGATCTGATTTCCACAGTTTTGCCTTCATCAGATGTAGGATTTCATATTTATGGTCAGTCCATAATTTTATAGATTTTTTATTTGTAAATTTATAGACATTTATATGAAAAAAGTAGTTGTATTAAAATTCAAAACCACAGGTCAATAATAATAAGATTACTGATTATATTATTAAATATAACAGATTCCAGATAATGTGAGTATCGGCGTATTTTACGCTTTAAAATCAACTAAAAACATACAACGTTACCAATTTGTTGCGTTCATTTACGCACTCTGTAAATTTGAAGCATTTTCGGTGTGTACTTTCATTTTCGAAACAGCTGATTGACCGCTTCCATTAACAGTTGACTGTGTATCTATTTCCAATTAATACCCGTCAAGACACTTTCAACTATTTTTCTCTGTAAACCAGTCAAATTACGTCTTTATTGCTTAGGTGCTTGATAAAAACAATTGTTCTATTTTTTCTGATAATTGCAAGATTTATTAAATACACATGTAGTGCATGGTTGCTTCAAGGGCTAATCAAATTGACATTTTTTTTCACACAAAATTTTACTCGATAGATTTTTGATCTATTTAAATTTACCCCCACATTCTGGAAAGTGGGGGTAAGTAATTACCCCCAGTGTCAAAAAATTATCTGTAACTCTGTATAACAGTATGGTAATATTTAGAACAATTTTGATGACTATCAATTTTTACTTTAAACAAAAATTTAAAAGTCATCATACACTGATGAAACTGACCTCATTACCTTTGTTGATATAAAACTATCAATAAAAACAACTTGTCTTTAGCAGTGGAATTTATATACATCATATTAAGTCATCATTACTTTTATTTTTTAACATCTATATGATTATTATACTAATAGTATTCAAAAATTTTGTTGATGGAAGTTTATGAATTGGTAGAGGAAGGAATAATTAATCATGGCAGTGGCTAGCAGTATGAACCAGTATTGTTTGACAAAAGTGCTGGCTGTATGCGAGTCGCATACGACTAGCATATATTCACTGTTTGAGGCTAGCTGTACAGCAATTTTAAAAATGAGTTGCCTAAAACAATAATATGCAAACTTGTTTTTCTAAAAGAAGATTTATTGAATATCATATACAATTTCAGTCAATGCGAAAGTCAAAAAAAAAATTCCTGCCGCAAGGACTTGAATCCTTAGATTTATTTTCCGGCCCTGATGATTTTTTACCGGCCCGGACTCTGAAAGGTTTTTTTTGTAGGGATGGGGGAGGATATTGCCATAATTATAAAGAAAAAATATTTAGCATATATGAATTGTCAGACTCAACTATAAGATACTATGAAAAAAATATACAGAAACATAATTAATAAAACATTAGCATAATTCACAAGAAAAACAATACATCTTTCAAAGGTTTAATTTTGAAGATTGGAGAAAAATATGTTTTTGGTAAGGAAATTATCAAAGACAAGATGGTGGCTGACATTACTTAGCAAAAACTGGTCGTATCCTGCGGTGATTTTGGTTATCTTGGTCTGTGAATACAAGCAAAAATTAAAAAATAGATTGATCTTGGAAGCTTTGCATATTTTAGAAGGCCAAAAATTGTTTCAAACTGGCTGAAATTTTATTTGGACATGACAACTGACTGTATCGAAATTTATCTCGGCCCTACTGATTTTTAGTTGGCGAGGTCCGAGGACCGACAGTCTTTCGCACAGACTGCAATTTACAGTTGGTATAGTAATTTTTAGTGTTTGATGATCAGAAGATTTGTTTTCCTTCTGAAAATCATGGAGTTGAATAATTTAAATCTGTGTGAAAGGGCAAAGAGAAAGAGACTGAAAATTAATTTATTATTTCTATGGACAATATAGATGTAATACATTTGTAATCAAACATGTGGGTCAATTCCAACAGTAGTTGAATTTATATGACAAAGTATTTTTAATAATTTTATTTCACTTTTAGCTACTTGAAAATTTCATGCTGGATGTTTGCTTTACCATTACATTTTGCATAAGAGCTCTATGATTGACATTAAAGTCCACGGGCCAATTCATTTCTGATATATCTTTCCGATATCTTGTTATATAATATAAAAGGCTGAACGTCATCATAGAATTATTAGGAAAAAATATATATGTTCATTCTTTGTAAAAAATGTTAGAAGACTTGCAAGTTACTGATTTTATCATTGCATTGATTTTATTTATTATTGAAAAATGCTGAACGGCTATCCTCAACAGTGTGTATAGGCTAGAAATTTCAGTTTGCATTTTAGGGTCATGACGGCTTTCCCGTTGCTGTCAACAAACTAACCTTTTTCATAACTTTTCAGATCTTGGTGTATTGTCTTCATACTTGGCCACAACAACCCTTCAAATAGACCAGACTAAACTTGACCTCCATATAAACATTCAAGGTAAAATATTTAAATTTTCTTGATTTTTGCTATTAGTGGCTATGACTTTGTTATTTTTTGAATGGATTGTCTTCAAACTTGTACGCAACAATCTTTTAGGATAGGACCTGATTCACTCATTAATGTCCTTGAAGCTTTTGTGATGAGAAGTTGTGCAGAATAATACAAACCAGAACAATTTCATTTACTTGGTTTGCAACTTCTGAGACAATGGATTTTAAAGATAGTTGTTTTCTTAAAATTTCAGGACAGTATAGTAGATTGTAAAGACATTTAGTACATACTGTAATATACACTATAACTACTATAGTATACTATAAATCTTTGTGCTTGGACAATTTTGAACAAAATTGTTTCTTAAACAGTGTAAGAAATTAGGATTTGAATCGACTAGTCTGGTCGGACTACCAGAGTGGAATATTCACTAGACCAAAAGACATTTCACTGGCACGATTCATTTGTTCAAAACAGTTGTTTATATTGCCTCTGAAAATACAGTAGCCTGGTCGGCTTGTTACTGTGAAAAGTTGGTAGCCCGAGGAGAAATTTAGTAGTCAGGCCCTCGGACTACTGCTAATTTCGAACACTGCTTAAATTATTGATTTGATATCAACTAACATAATTATTGGGATACTATATGTATATCTAATAATAATTATATTTTATCTTTCCAACTTTCTGTTTCAGATGGTTGGCCTACATGTCAGATTTGTGAATGTGAACGGCAGGATATCGAGTTTAAGGATGCTTTAGGGTCAATGAGAATGAAATCAAGAGAGATAAAGGCTAAAAATGTGAGACTGTCAATCTGACAAACCTTGCAGTGAATAAATGGTAAAATGTTTCTTTCAGTAGCATGGCATTTAAGGAAGCGGTACATGATTATTTAGAAGTGGTTGTTATTGATATTTCTTAATTATTATATTCTAATAGCTTTTTTTCTTGACTTGTTTTAAAAGGCTGACACAGGACAGTTTATTTAAGTCAGTGAGCTTCTGTCACTGGATAAAATCCAAATTTATAAAAAGGAATTACAGTGTATTTAAATATCATCTTATACTAGAAATTAGGAACAAAAATAATAGCAAGAACAATTGTGACATGTAACATGTATTTAGGAATTCAGCTTTTTTTCCTTTTCACCTCAGGAGAATTCACATTAAAATATTGAATATTCACAGTAAGCACTCTGACATATCTGACATATATGATTATCTTATCTACACTTAGCTAATCTATAGGTTATCAGAATCACTCACATTTATAAATTTAAATAATTTTGAAAAAAATTGCTGTTTAGCAAATAGATGAAATACTTGGGTGTCTGTGGTGGATTGGTTGACTTTGAACCTATTAAGCCTTTCACTGCTGTAGGTTCGAGCTCTGCAAGGGTTTATGGATTATTTCATGTGAGGAAAGCTATCCAGCTTATTTATGGAACATTGATGGTACCCAGGGCCTGAAATCATACACATAGGTGCACCAAGGTCTTCCTCAACCAGTAAAGCTGGAAATTGTGCTTTAAATTGCTCTCCCCCCCCCTCCCCGAACAAAACAACAAAAATAATGGCATTTTTATTTTTGCAATTAACTTTTTCTAAACAAATATTTCAGGAAACAGTGGCGTTTGTATGAATAGAACAGTAATAGCAGGAGTGATAAGGACAGATGCATGTAGATGTGTATTCATGTCGGAAACACTACTAGAGAAATTGAAATATTTGGGTTTTTCAAAACTTAAAAGAAATTGGAATACCAGGAGACTGCTTGCCCTTTGCAATGTTGGATGATGTGATGTTGAAAGCCTCATGAATATAGTAACTTGACTTAATCTAATTAGAAAAAAGAAATGACATTGAGGAGAAAACTAGTCACCAGTCTTTCACCAAGAAACATGAGATAACTTTCCAATATTTGAAATATCATAATATGTATAGAACTTTAATGAGCGAACAGTTTTTCACCAGGAAAATAAGATCACTTATCTATTTTTGAAATATGTATGAACAGAAACTCTATCAACTTCAAGGTGAGAGTTTATCACAAAGAACATGAGATAACCTATGTATGAACAGAACCACATTTGTATATAGAGGCGCCAGTTCATCACCAAGAAGATGAGCTAACTTATCAATGTTTGAAATCTGTTATACCCCCGCACAACAAAGTTGTAAGGGGGGTATACTGGAATCAGCTTGTCTGGCCGTCGGGGAGTTTGTCAGTTTTTTCTTGTCCGTCCAATAACTTAAGATTCCTTTGACCCACAGTCTTCATATTTGGCATGGAGGTAAGTCATGATTAGTAGATGACCTCTTTTAATTTTGAGAACACCAAGTCAAAGGTCAAGGTCACAGGGTCTTGACTAAAGAAAGCTTTTCTGCCCAATAACTTAAGAATCCTTCGACCCACAGTCTTCATTTTTGGCATGGAGGTTAGTCATGATTAGTAGATGACCCCTATTTATTTTCAGGTCACCAGGTCTAAGGTCATGGTCACAGGGGCCTTGGCTAATTAAAGCTTGTCCTCCCAATTACCTAAGAATCCTTTGACCCGTAGTCTTCATATTTTGGCATGGAGGTTAGTCAAGATTAGTGGAATACCCTCTATTGATTTTGAGGTCACTGGGGCAAAGGTCAAGGTCACAGGGGCTTTTATTACAATTAGCTTGTCTGCTCAAATGGTCTTATATATTCATCATAAAACACCTCCAGGCAAGGCTGCATGAAATTGGGGGGGTGTTATTGAAGTCATTTCAATGGCAGTTTCAGTTTTGAGGTCAGTAGGTCAAAGGTAAAGTTCACTTTGATCTTTTCCACTAAAACATGTAGAATACATAACTTAGCAATGCACTGGCTTACTTCCCTCAGATTTGGCTGGGAGGTTGTCTGAGCTGTAAATGACTACTGGTGTGATTCTGACAAATTGGTATGTGGGGGTATTCACGCCATGACAATGGCAGTTCTAGTTTGTACAGAAAATATCAAGGTGCAAGTTTCTTTTATTAAGAATAGACTTATTGATTAGATAACTTACAATATTTACAAACATTTATAATACCATACCCTTTTAAAGTATTTTCAGCTGAGAGTGTATTATCCAAAATACATGTATTGTTATAATGTACTTTATAGTATATTTATTGTAAAGTTTTTGATTCTACTAGATTTTAAAAACATTTAGATTTTACTAGATCTTGAAAATATTTTGTTCCATGCTCTTTCATTTAATTTTGAATAATGAATCCAATAAATACCTATAATAAGTATAGGATTAAAATTGATAATGTTTTCTATCTTTAACTTATATAAAAGTACAAAAGTAATGTTCAAACTGCTGGTTAGATTTCAAACAGGACTAAACAGGAGTGTACAGTGCCATCCTTAGTTGTGCACATTGTTGGCATGTTCTCATCGTCAGATACCCACGGCCGAACCATTAACATTCATCATTGATTGCATGTTATGTGACATGTTTATCAATCGTGGGTATCCGACAATGGCAATGTTCTGTTTCTCTGCACAAAATGGCCCCAGAGTTAAAAAAAGAAAATCTATCACATGTAAAAACTGCCAAAATTCAAAAGAGTGATCAGAAACCATACACAGTTTTGGGAGACATGTTTTTTGACAAAAGCCCTTCAAGTTCATATTGACCTTGACCTTTATTAGTCCCCTACCGGTTTAACCGGAGGGGACTTTAGGTTTACCCTCCGTCCGTCTGTCTGTCCGTCTGTCTGTCTGTCTGTCAGTCCGTTCGTCCACAAAACTGGATCCCGCGATAACGCAAAATGTACTGAAAATATTTTAATGAAACTTGATATATGGATAGATGGCAGTATGGAGATTATGCACGTCTTTTTTTTTTTTCCTATGTTGAAAATTCTGGTTGCTATGGCAACAAATAGCCTGAAAATATGGCACATTGAACACATAAACTGGATCCCGCGATAACGCAAAAAGTACTGAAAATATTTTTATGAAACTTGATATATGGATAGATGGCAGTATGGAGATTATGCACGTCTTTTTTTTCTTCCTATGTGGAAAATTCTGGTTGCTATGGCAACAAATAGCCTGAAAATATGGCAAATTGAACACATAAACTGGATCCAGCAATAACGCAAAAAGTACTAAAAAATTTTTTTATGAAACTTGATATATGGATAGATGGCAGTATGGAGATTATGCACGTCTTTTTTTTTCTTCCTATGTTGAAAATTCTGGTTGCTATGGCAACAAATAGCCTGAATTTCAAGATTTCTGATTTAAATTTTTCAGCTTTTTCACTATAAGTTCTTTATTTCTTAAGGTGATTACTTCAAACTTTAAATATAAGTTTCTGGTCATCAACCACATCATATGTGACAAGGTTTACAACTCTAGCACAAAAATTATCAGTATTACCTCCCTTGAACTTAGAATTTTTATGAAAAAAAATGTTGTCTTTTTTAAATAACTTCTTTATTTCCTAATGTATCTACTTCAAACTTCATATATATGTTTCTTATTCTCACTCAACATTTTTGAGAAGGTTAAATACTCTAGCAAGACTATTTCCAGAATTATGTCCCCCTTGAACTTAGATTTTTTTCGAGAAATTGGTATTTTTCACTCCAACTTCTTCATTCATTATAGGATTTACTTTAAAATCCCACAGAAAGTTGCTGGGGTTCTAACCGGTAGGGGACTTATGGATTGCTTGCAATACTATGATAATTGCTTGTTTGATATAAAATATCTGGAGTTAGCTGGAATTGTTATTACTTTGTTATTATTTACAGATTTGATTCATGCTTGGACAAACAAACACAAAACCAACATGTTGAATTTTTCTGATATAACTTTGACATTTAAATGACCATTACCTCCAAGGTTAAACAATTGAAATTCGATCACATTGTCATAACTTTGTTTTTGTCTATGATTTGATTCATTCTTGGACAAAAGAACAATTATCATTCAACTATGACCTTTACTATTCAAATTTGAAATTTACTTTATACATTTATATTATGTTTTCTAGGAGTACTCTAATAGATATTACAATATTCTCCTACTGATGTGTTTGACTTCCAATATAAGAAAAAGCCGAGCATGGCCCAGGCTAGATAGTGGCTCTTGTTTTCAATGCCAACTTGATTATATGTATCCATTCCAGTTTACATTCTCACATGTATTATCTATTGTGCTTGAAAGGTTTCTACAAAAAACAAGTTTGTTCTTACAGTCCTGGTTTTATTTTAGAAATATTTTAAAGACAGTTAAATTTTCTGTTTATTTTCTATCTGCATAATCATTTCTTGGAATAAATATAGTAAGTACACTGATTTATGTGTTATACACTCACATAAGGAAGTACTTTACATGAAAATTGGTTAAACAACTATAGTTTCCCAACAAAATCCAATGTCATAATTTAAAATGTTTATTCATGATATATATATGATATCAATTATGCATTTTGCCTGGGTTTGTTAGTATGTTCTTGGTACATGATTTTCAATTTTGACAAGAGTTTGGAGGCGATACTATTATATTGTGTACAAAATGGGCACTTATTCAACTTTGAAAGAAGAATGATATCAGATTGGAACACCTAAAGTAGATTGCTATACAAATCTCGAATTTTTGTATGCAACATATTGCGCCCCCATCAGTGCTTTCAGCACTTTGATTGATCAATGAAACCAATATAAACATAAACTGATATTTGACCTCTATTTTCCGTTCTAATGGCAATGATCTAATATCAAGAAATATTTAAATTTCACTAAATAGGATTTTTTGTTTTAAACTGAAATCTTGTGAAAGAAGAAATTGCA